ACGATAAGCTACACCTCTGAAATTATCAACAGCAACTTATCTTTAAAACTCAACATCATTTAGAATGCAATCAAAACAATACACAGCTTGAATATATCACAAGCCGGAGTCGCACAAATATCCAGCTTTCCTATTACGAGTTTTGCAAAAACTCTGAATCCATTCTTCCTGCCTCAAACAAATGAGGGAAATATGGGTCAAATATGAGATGCTCAAAGTTGAATCTGTGATAGCTTACCCAGAACATAACTTTTTCATTCGAGTCATAAACTTGCGCATTTTTAATAATAATAATAATAGTAAAAGGTCCAAACCTTTGTGTAATAACACCAATAAAAGGCTTCAATTCATCGTTCTCCTTCTGCATACCCGCGACAATCAGCGTATTCCAAATGGGATTCAAACGTGAACGACGATAGTAGAGTAACGATGTGAGATAAGCATGCAACATTCGAGGACTCAAATCTGCAGTCTCATCATATGCGCGCATCATACATCTCTGCAAATTTATGCATTCACTTACACTTCTAAAAAATAAGCGCAGCAATTTCCATAACAGTGATTCTATTAGTCACACAACGTAATGAGAACAGAAATGGACAGTAAAGAAACCTGTCGTTCGATAACATTTTGTAACCACTGGAAATCAGCATGATCACCCCCAAATGTAACAATCACATGATCATTGACACGATACTGTCGCGAAACATGTCTGTATCTTGCCATTTTACCATATGACACCAACCGATCACTCATGATGGCAACACCACCCTCGTAGGTGACTGCCACCACTGATGTTCCGGTGCATGTCGGATTTCTGAATGGTATTTATAAATCAAATAACATAATACTAGCACCATTAATGTGAGAGAAATTAATGACGAAAACCTGGCGTAGCACTGCGATCATGACTTCCACTAGCTCAATTGTTATAAATGCAGTATTTCTCAACAGATGCAATAAAAGAACAAAGATGTGATGTGCTGCAATCCCAACAAAACTGAAAGGAAACTTTGGACAGCGTAAGATCATTTAAAATTGAATCATCTTAAACATACAATGTTCGTTCCACTTCCATACCGCTCAGGGATGAGTTTCGTCCAAATATGACCACGGAATCCTGAAAACAAACTCTTCAACAGTGCAAAAACCACTGTCAATGTCTCGCCATCAGAGGCTTTCGGCTCTAGCGATCATCATAACCCAACTCAACATAGAACCTTCAGAAAGAACCGAAATTTCCAACGATTTAGTTAATCTTAAAACATTTGTTAGTTTGCAAACATGATTACAATTCAATAGCGAATCAAAAAAGGTTCGCATTGGTACACAAACACTTCGCCAAGCACGCAGTTCGCCAAGTGACGGAAGCGACAGATCGCCAAACACGGGTTGTCATTTTCGAGCTTACCGTACTCTCACCTTTGCCCAGTAACATAAGAATTTCTGTACACCGTTCGATCCAGTGGAATCTCTAGATTCAGAAAAACATATATTTTGTCGAGAAATTCTGCTTTATTGAGGAGACATGGCTCTTTTCATAAAACTGAATGAGCAACAAACGCGAATCCGCTCGTTCATATACACTCTATCACTATAGATCAGAATGAATACTTTACTATGGATCTATAGAAGTTACCTAAATTCAAGGTAACCGTACTCTCAGGTTTGCTCGATAA